ATCTGAAGAAAGAACGGCTAAGGTTTCCAAACCTTCAGAAAGAAAAGAGGACACAGAGTTAAAAAAAACCACCAAAAATCCCCAAGCAGGATAAATACAAAGAAAAGTACTCTCAGCAAGAGGCTAAGGTACAGCAGGGATTATCTCATAAAGATCCATGGATGTAGCATTTGTCTAATGGAGTGAGTTCCAGTGAAATCCAGGAAAGACCCACTAAATTCTTGAGAAAACCGTTTGACCCAAAAGAGAGAGAGAGAGAAAGGAAAAAAGAAAAAAAAAAAAACCAAACAAACCAAAGAACCCAAATAAACAAAAAAACCCACACTGGCAGTGTAGACTCAAAAGGACAGTGACAGTACAAAATAAAGAGTCTGTAGGATTCTTAACATTCTCATGGCAAGATCAGGCAGAGAAAGTTATTCAGCAGTACACGTGTGCTATCTTTCATGAAAAGGGAAAGATAACTACACAGAGTGGACCCAAACGATTGGAGAGTATAGCAAATATCAAATCCACAGTCCCCGAGATTACGTAGGGTATGTACCCTGGGGTGAGGGTGATGAGAAAATCTGGGAGGACAACTTAGGATTCTGCATATCACATTGGGCAATTCTATCCAATATTTTAAAAAGAAATAATTTACTTCTATACAAAGTCTTCCAGAAAAATGTAGAGCAAGGAAGACTTCTAAACTAATTCTCTGAGGCCAATGCTACTCTGATAACAAAATTAAGAAGACATTACAAGAAAACTACAGATCGAATGTCTTCCATGAACAAAAAGGCAGTATTCATGAAATATTAGCAGAACAACAGAAACAGTTTATCAACAACAATATATTGCAACCAAGTAAAGTTTATCCCAGGAATGCAAGGTTGATTTAATATTTGAAAACGATTCAATGTGGATCATAATATTAACAGATTTAAAACAAAAAAAAATTCATATTATGTCAACAGACCAAAAGGCATATGATAAAGTTCAACTCTATTCATGATTAAACACACACACACACACACACACACACACACGGAAAATTAGGAATAGAAAGGAACTTTACTAATTCCAAAACTTCAGCTACCTTTTACACTTAATGGTAACATTCTGAATACTGTCCCCTTGAGTTTGAGAAGAAGGGAAAGATGCCCAACTCTACTCAGTGTCCTGAATATTCTTGCCAGTACAATAAGATAAGAAAAGTCATAAGAATTGGAATGGAAAAATTAAAACTATGACTATTGTAAACAGATGACAGATTGTATACTAAGAAAATCTAAAAAAAAAAACCCAAAACCTACAGAAACACGATTAGAATTAATAAGTGAATTAGTTGGATTAAAAATATATATGTAAATCAACTTTACTTCTAGTAGCAACAAAAATGAAAATAATTTCAATAGTATTAATAAACACACATGTAGAAACACATTTAATAAAATGTTATGTAAGACTTATAGACAGAAAATTATAAAACATTATTGACAGAAATTAGAGAAGAGTAAAATAAATGAAAACATATACTTCATTTAAGGACAGAAAGTTGGTATTATAAGAACAGTAATTTCTCCAAAATGACCTAAAAAATCACTATGATCTTAATTAAAATTCCAGCAGGATTTTTGGTAAAACTTCACAAATTTACAAAAGCAAAGGAACAAGAATAGTTAGGGTAATTTCAGGAAAAAAGCAACGGTGAAATACTTACATTGCCAATATCAAGACTTAATATAAAGCTATGGTAGTTAACCTGTGTTTGGGTGGAAAGACTGACAAATAGAACAAAGGAAGAGAACAGACGAAACAGACGCCTGGAACAGGCCCACATGTGATTTATGATAAAGGTGACCAGGCAGGCAAGTGAGGCAAAAATTGTATTTTCAATAAACTGCACTGACTCAAATAAATAGCTTCAGGGGTAAAAAAACAAAACACACTTTATACCTTAAATAAAAATAAATTCCATTTGGACTGCAGATTTAAAGGTAAAGGAAAAATAATAAAATTTCTAGAACAGCACATTGAGGGATATCTTTATGATGGTGTAGAGAAGGTAAACATTTCTTAAGAGGACACAAAAAGCACTAATATTAAAAAAAAAAAACCCGATAAATTCTACATTAAATGAAGAATGTCTCTTCTTCAAAAGGCACCATGAAGAGAAAAGGTGGGTTACAGAATGGAAGAAGATATTTACGTAACTATGAACTACCAAAATTTGTACCCAGAATACGTAAATAACTCCTATAAATCGGGCACAAGGGTGGGGTATAAATCAAACTGGTAAACCAGTAGGTAGATGGGCAAGAGATATGAACCGGTAATTGATGAAAAAAGACACCCAAATAGCCAGTAAACATATAAAAGATACTCAATATGGTCAGTTAACAGGAAAATATAAAACTACAGTTAAAATTAAGTTATATTCCCGCCAGAATGACTAATTCAAAACGTAACAATGCCGAGGGCTCGCAAGAATATGGAGCTTCTAGCATTTTTATACATTGCTGTTGGGATTGCAAATTTATTCACCCATTTGGGGAAACTATTTGGCAGTATCTAGTAAAGCAGATCAATTTCATTTCCTGTGACTCAGCAATTACAATCCTAGTTAAACCTCCCAGTGGAAAAGTTTACACACAAGTGGAAGAAAAAAAAAAAAAAAAAGAAGAAGAACACTGATAGCTGTATTCATTGCAACACTAGTATTAGGATTTTGAAAATACCCAATTCCCCTTGAACAACAGGATGAATAAACTGTGATGCACACACACACACACACACACACACACACACACACACACACACACACATGCTGCCTGGCAATAACAATGAATGAACTACAAATACTTTAAAAAGAGGTTTAGTTCAACAATATAATGTTAAGTAAAAACAAACAAATCCCCAAAACCCAAAAACCAAGCACTGAAACATAAATTCTTACATTTATATCCAGTATAAAAATAGGTAAACCTATTGTGTGGTGTCAGAATAAGGCATGGTGGTTTCCCTCGGGGAGGGGACAGGATAGCAAATGGAGGACATGACAGGGATCTGTGTGGTAGTTTGTGACGTTCAGTTTCTTGATCTGACTGGCAGTTCTAAGTATTCACTTTATGAAAATGCACAGCCATACACTTTTCTGCAGATAAAGTACAAAAGCTTTTTTAGTAAAGAAGTTTAAAAAATGAGTAGATTGAACTATGAGAACAGAAAAAAGAACAGCAGTTGTCAGGAGCGGGCTGGGCATGGCGGAAGAAGATCACTATTAAAAATGGTAAGAAGGATTGGCTGGGTACCGTGGCTCACACCTGTAATCCTGGCACTTTGGGAGGCTACATGGGAGGACTGCTTGAGTCTAGGAGTTCAAGACCAATCTGGGCAACATAGTGGGACCTTGTTTCTATGAAAACTAAAAAACAAAATTAGCTGGTTGTGGTGGCACACGCATGTAGTCCCAGCTACTTGAGATGCTGAGGTAGAAGTATCACTTGAGTCCAGGAGGTTGAGGCTGCAGTAAGCCAAGACTGCAACACTGAACTCCAGCCTGGGCGACAGAGCAATACTCTGTCTGAAAACAAAACAAAACAAAACAAAACAAAAGGTTAAGAAGAAATTTTGAGGGGGCTTATGGAATTGTTCTATATCTTGATTGTGAGAGAGTGTGTTGCACTACTGTATGCATTTGACAAAAGTCACAGAACTGTATACTAGAAAGTGCCTTTTGCTGTATGTAAGCTATACCTCAATGAAAAATACTTGTGATATAAAAGAAAATGAATTAATTGGGCATCTTTTTATGTTTGTGGGAAATTCATGATCTGTGGTGTTATAATCTGCTTTTTTTGTCGATTAAATTAGAAAGAAAATTAAATGGTCTACCTGCAAAATATTTTCTTACCGTTATATACACAGAAAGTTGTAAAATTAACATGAGGAAAATATTGGGAAAACAACAAATGCTATTCATTTTGGATTTATGATATTCACTTTCAATTTTTAGAAAAACAGACTTTAATGTACATATATATTTTTTTACCAAATATTGAAAGAAGAAATATATATGTTGTGTTTATATTCGTATATGGTATAATAGAAAAACAGTAACAAGTTCTGGGTCATCTATTTGCATATTTATTCACAAAAACATTTGAGGCAAATTAATGATACAGCATAATTTTTAAAAATTTAGGTTGGTGGAAAAGTAATTTCATTAACTACTTTTAATAGGAAAAACTGCAATTACTTTTGCACCTACCTAACAGTTATTAGAAACAAAGTAGAAAATTTTCGCTTAAATTTCTACTTCCTCTTTAGGCTTATTTTACATTTGCCCATATTCACCCAATGAATTTAGAAAGCAAGTATTTGTTTTGAGACCTTTACTTTCTGGGGCATTCTGGGAAACAGTTGGTCTTTACTTGATTTCAAACTTAATCACATTCATTATGAGTCATCTGATTGACTTTATCTGTGAACATGAAAGGATAAAATTAAATTGTAATTCTTTGTGGAAAAAACTGTAAAAAAAAAAAACAGGCAGAAAGACAGATAGCATCAAATCCATCCAACAGAAAAGCAGGAAAACTAGGGGGCTCCCAATCAATCACAAATTATGAAAAGTGGAGTCAAAATAAAGCCTCTTTTACTCACCAAGATTTAAATATTGCCTTATTTGGAAACATCCAAAACTTAAACACACAGGTAAATACTAGACCAGATACGAATTAAATTTTTTTCCCTGAGTTACCTGAATTTTACTGTTCAAAAGAAGGAAAAGGTGATTATATTTGAGTTGCCTAAGGCCACTAAACTCATCCATGGCCTCCAGCCCCTGACCCCAACTTGGAAATCTCTCCATATTTTGTAATTTAAGGGTGATAACATGAGCAAGTTGTATGAAGGTGGGCAACACAGCTGCATTTTTATAGCTACTGGCAAAAAAAAACAAAAAAACAAAAAAACAAAAAAACAACCAGTACCTTACAAGAAAAAGATCTTACCACTTGTGCTGGAACTTGTTCTATTTTTGCAGCAGGAGTTCCTGGTCGTGGGTAAAATTGGTTAATAAAGAGGCTTGGAAATTTGTACTCTTCAACAAGTTTCACTGTTTCTTGAAAATCCTGATCTGTTTCTCCAGGAAAACCACAGATAATATCTGTAGCAATAGTTATTCCAGGAACTCTAGAAAACAACAAGACAAAAATGCAAAAACTTGACTATAAGCCATAATTATTCTATTTCCCTGACATTTTAAATACCATTTTTTTGGTAATTAAAATTTATTTTTATAAAAGGCACACATGCAAATAGTTTTAAAGAGTCCTAAATACCAAAAGTTTAAAATGAAAAACAGTGGCTGCCTGCCATTCCCAGAGAAACCCATTTTAAAATCTTTTAAATGGTTCTTTGTTCTTTCTTCTATATTTAAAAATAGATGCTAATTCTTGCATTTCTAGATTTACTAACTTTTAGGCAACCCGTTACTAACTTCTCTATTATGGTAAATGAGGCTTTAACTCTTAAACTACTCCATCCCTACCCTCCCAAAGGGGACTGGAACAACTCCCAGTTAAATACTGTAGCACAGTATTTCCACTGGTGCAAATGCAAAGATAACATTCATTGTAGAGCCAACTAGTATACTATTCAGTTTTGTTTTTCCACAAGGTGTAGTTTTTCCTAGAGTTAATAATTGCTTCTTCTTAAAAAAAAATTAGCTTAATGTTCTATGTACCTATGTTTTCTAGAAGCTCCATGAGATCTATCAAAAACCAATACTGTTTCTAAATCTTCGATGTATTATATAATGTACCAGCCCCCTTTTCTTTTTCTGGAAATGCCACTCCTTTCAGGTGTGTGTGGCTTTTATAGTGAACTGGCTATCATCCTTGAATGCTGCTCCTTGGTATCCTTTTTTCAATAATCTTTTTCCCCCCCGATCCTGTGTCTTACTAATTCCTCATCAACTCGCTCATTCTGCAGGAGTGTGCTTTCTTTCAGAAGCTTCATCAGAGAGAAACCAGGGAAAGTTTGTTGTTGTCTTAGCATGCCTGGTTTTAGGCCACACAACTGACCAACAATTGGTTTTGTGTAGCACTCCAAGTTAAAAAGTATTATTCATAAAAATTTTGCATTGTTCCTCTTTAAGTTGAAAAAATTGCTAATGGGATGTCCAGATTAACTTGGATGCACACGTTTTTAAAAGTGCTCACACCACTCTCTTTTTAAAAGCTTTTAGGATATTAACTTTATGCTCAAAGTTTTTAATTTCACGATAATAGGCCTTGGATTGGGTCTTAAAATCTTTGTACAAGGTACAGTCCAAAGACTCATGGGCTTTAGGTCGAGGAAGTTTTCTAATATTATTTCTTTAATAATTTTTCTCTCAGGGAATCCTATCTTTTAGAATGTTGAAACCACTGGGTAAAACCTTTTAGCTTTTTTTCTCTCTCAATTCTACCCTTTTATTTTCTGGAAAATTTACTTCAGCAAACCTTCCAAATCTTTTATTGCAAAAAAAAAAAAATTAGTTCAATATTATTGTTTACAATTCTCAGAGCTCTTTCGCATTATCTAATTTTCCTTTTCACAGTATCCTGCTTAGGGTCGAAACATCTTTTCTTATTTATCTGAGGATGTCAATTAAAGGTTTTTAAAATTTTTCTTCTGCTCACTGCACTTATGTTTTTCAGTTTCTCTCATTCATGGTTGAGACCTTCCACCAATAAAGAACAATTCTTGTTATCCTTTCATATTTAATAGCAAAGTACTAAAACCTTTTTATCACTGAGTGATTAGGTAGCAAGCTGCCTTTGTTTTTAATGGGCCAAAATGCTGGCATGTTGGAAGTCATTTCTTTATGGCCACTTAGTGCCTCCATAAATACGGCATATTGTTCTACTTAATAGGAAAAAAAAAACCAAAAAACAAAAAACAGAATTACATTAACTTATTTAAAAATCCAGTATTAGTCTGAATCCATAAACAACAGAGAAAATAGTTCCAAATGTCAAAACATAGGATATCAAATTTCCTATCACTTAAATAGTTGTGGCCAGATGCTTTGGCTCACGCCTGTCATCCTAACACTTTGGAAGGCCAAAGTGGGTGGATCACCTGAGGTCAGGAGTTTGAGACCAGCCCGGTCAGCATGTTGAAACCCCGTCTCTACTAAAAATACATAAATTAGCTGGGTGTGGTGGCAGGTGCTTATAATCCCAGCTACTTGGGAGGCTGAGGCAGGAGAATCACTTGAACCAGGAAGGCAGAGGCTGCAGTGAGCTGAGATCAAGTCATTGCACTCCAGCCTGGGCAACAGAGCAAGACCTCGTCTCAAAACACAAATAAACAAAAAAAATAAACAAAAAATAGTTCCACATGAAAGAATAAAAATACTTTATCAAATTAAGATATATGACATATTTGGGGACATAAGAGAGAACAAGGAATATACCAATGAGGACAGCCAAATTATTATATTCCTAATATAGCTTCATAAAAACGACAGCTTTCCATATTTTCTTCACACTCTACTTAAAACCCTGCGTGAAAGAAGCATCACAAATCTATTTTTAAAACTACTTTGTTCCTAATTTATACTTGGTCTCACTTAGCTATTTATTTGGCTGAACTTTAGTAAGATAAATTCCAAGGACTGAAACTTTTCTCCTTGATGATAAATAGAAAAAGAGACAATATTCATGCAGAAGAATAAAATAGTATATTTAAATAAAACTTTGATTTTTATAGTGATATAAACATATTTTTCTTCTTTAAAGGTAATTATCAAAATTACATTTGAAAAATCACAAAAACCATATGCTTTCACATGTAGGCTATAGATAAAAAGACCACTTTTGTAGACTAAAGCATGTGGAATAGCTTTTTGGCTAGTTACTTTTACACTTGCCTTTTCAATAATTCTGATCCAAAAGGTCTACAACTAAAAATAAAAGTAATGGATCACAGCAGATAGCAGCAGAGAACAGTCCATCTCTCGTAGAAAATGTTAAAAAAATAAATCTTAGAAACTGCCTGGGAAATACTGTAACAACAAAGGTTATTGTCCTCAGCTATGAATTAGAATAGGTTGGCACTAGATTATGGGGTATTCCCACAGGAAAGTACCTTACTGATTTTCCCTTTGTCCTTGGTACATTATGGTCGAACCCAGCATTATGTAACACGTGCTTACTTTGGCCTTAAGGGCCATAGTGACAAAAGACAAACCTTTAGAGAAGTCATAGTAAATGTTAGGGAAAGGGACTTTCGATGCATGTATTTGGCAAGGTTAACAGAAAGTTGCTGGTTAACATGGAAGAAGCCAGGCCACTGTGAATTAGTAACTTACACTGTCAATATGGAAAAGTAAAAGCAGTTTAGTTGGCTTCCAAGTATATAAGAATATGAACTGACAGCTTATAAAATGTTTTTTAAGTAGAGATTGCACTTTAATGTTAGATGAGGCTAATCTATACATTAATTTTATATATGCAAATGATCCTACTTACATTCTTGAAAATAATTTGACTCTTTAGGTGAACCAACTGAAATCTCATTTACACTGTTAATTTGCCTAGTAAATAATTCTCTTCAGTATGAGAAAATCAGAGAAGTTTGAAGTGGAACAAATTCTAAATTGCTAGAATATGATTTAAGTGTCTAGGAGGAAATTATAAGGGGTATAAAACAGAATATTAATCCAAATATTTAAGATGCTAATTCTGGGTAAAAGCTATTTTTGAGATGCCATGAATTTTCAAAATACTAACGTTTTAAAAATAATCATTTCCACAAACTTATTTAAGCTGTGAGTGTAATGTATGTAAATACTAAGTATGTAATATGTTATTCAATTTTAGAAACTTTATGTACGTTTTCATACTAGTATTAGAAAATAATTCTGAAAGGAAGATGAAAATAAAAATGTTCATTTAGCTTAAATAACAGGAAAATTTTGGCACATTATTTTTTCTGTCCTATATTTACCAGCAAAAATGGTTTACCAAATAGCTTGAGTATGGTGTAAGAAGGATTCCAATTATGCATCTGACCTTGTCAGAAGCAGTGCTATGATTAGTTAAAGATATATCAGAAACATGTGAGGAACATGCAAACTATTTGTTGGCTCTAGGCTAGAATTTAAGAAAGTCATAAATATTTCAAAAGTTAATTATTTCACCTTGAATAAAAACACACACATATATATACTCCACACTTTAAACATTTAAAATACGACTTAAAATACTGTACTTAATTCATCTCAAGATTTTTTATTTGTCATTTGATATTTCACTGGTAAAAATATGGAAAAGAATAATTCTACTTCATTCTTTAGATCAATAAATTATGAGCTTCAAATTCTTTATGTGAAAAAAAGGACTAATGCATATACTAATTATCTCAAAAGAGAAAGAGAAAAACCATCAGCAAAGGACTAGACTCGCCAAAATTAGCAGACATAAACAAAACACATGATTAAAAGAATTAATTTTATCATGTGGAGATTTATTTTAGGACAATATTCAAAACTTTTGGAGAAAAAAATTAAGTAGGTAGAAGAGAAACATATCTTGAACTGATTAAAAATGAAATCATAACACATCTAAATATATGGTATGCAACTAAAGCAGTGCTGAGAGAAAAATGTATAGATTTTAATTCCTGGGTTAGATATAAATTTAAAAAATGTAAGCTTCTCCTTCAAGAAGCTAACAAGGAGAAGAAATCACATCAAAAGTAAGACAAAGAAAGAAAGAAAGAAAGGTAAAATAAGAAATTAATGAAACAGAAAATAAAGAAAAATCAATGAAAGTAAAAGCATCTAAAAAAAAAAGTCAATACAATTAGTAATGTACTAGCTAGGCTGAGAAGAGAAAAGAAGATACAGATGACCAGCTTTATGCGTGAAGGAGGGGACATCACTATAGATGTAAAAGGATACAAAGAGAATATTATGAACCTTATGCCAATAAACTCACAACTTAGATAAAATGGGCAAATTTTTTGAAAGATACAAATTATGAAAATGGACTGAAGAAGAAATAAAAAACCTGTCTATCTTTTATCTTCTACAAAAACTTGTCATTTAAAATCTTGACACCAAAATAAAACAACATAAAACAAAATCACCCAAGCCTATATAGTTTGATGGTGAATTCTATCAAACATTTAAGGAATAA